CATTATAATGATGGGTCTGTTCTCCATATACGCCGGCTTTATATACAACGATGTCTTCTCGAAGTCTATGAACCTGTTTGGGTCGCAGTGGAAGACCCCGGAGCCCAGGTTACTGGAAAATGGGAGCGATAGTTATAGGTTTGACCCGGATATGACACTTGATCCCCAGAATGAGATTAAACCGGACACACTACCGTACCCGTTCGGAATGGACCCGGTATGTGGTAATTTCCAACAAAGTTTTATGCTATGTTAATATAGTGAATATTGCTATCATTTGTTTTTCCTGTTTAATTAGTATACAATTGTAATCTTATGATTGATTTTAACATTATTAAATATTTGCTTTGAAATTTACCCTGATAATCCAGATATGGCAGTTGGCCACGAATAAGATAATATTTCTGAACACATACAAAATGAAGACATCGGTTGTGTTAGGAGTTATTCAAATGGTATTCGGCGTTATGTTAAGCATCGTTAACCACCTGTGAGCATAAATTAATTGAAAATAATGTATATTACAAACTTTTTCATAAATAATCTAGAATCTAACTTATATTAAATTAGTAAATAATTATAAATATTCTTATAAAGATTTCATGGACACTTTATTAGTATAGTACAGTATATAAGTATAGTACAAAGTGTTTGCATAACTATTAACCACAACGAATATTCTGTGATGTATTTTACAGCCACTTCAAGCATTATGTGAACATATTATGTGAATTCATACCGCAAGTGATATTCTTGATGGCTATATTTGGTTACATGGATTTCATGATATTTTGGAAGTGGTTTGCCTACAATTCCTTAAACTCCGACTGTGCCCCCTCCATACTCATTACACTCATCAATATGTTCCTGTTCAAAAAGGGAGCAAGTGGTGACCCGTGTTATCTCACGGATCCTATGTATGCGCCCCAAGAGCTCATACAGACTATACTACTGGTGCTTGCCGTGGTATGCATACCATGGATGCTGCTTATCAAACCATTTTGGCTAAGACATCAGCATAACAGTAAAAAGTACCTGGCTATGACTAGTCTGAATATATAATTAAGTTGTTTATTTTAATTATATTTTGTATTTGATTTTTAGTACAAAGAGTACATACATTAGTAATGATAACGAATTGCATAATAACATAGAAATGACGACAAATAGGTCGGCGTTTAATAACGTGGAGATCAATGAAATTAAGATCAGTGTCGATGACAATGGAAAGGCATCCCATAGTGGACAAGGAGCCAGTTCAAGTAGTGGTGGAGGACATGGAGGTCACGGGGACGGGGAGTTTGATTTTGGCGACATATTCATACACCAAGCGATTCATACGATTGAGTACTGTCTGGGCTCCATATCCCATACGGCCAGTTATTTGCGATTATGGGCCCTGAGTTTGGCTCACTCCCAGCTCAGTGAAGTCCTCTGGAATATGGTTATGGTCGAGGGGTTTATGCGTAAGAATATTCTGTGATTTACTGTTATTTATGTAGTTATTCTGTAATAATTCTTTAAATATTATGTTATATAGTTATGTTAGCAGTTTTATAAGAATATTCTCTCTCTCTCTCTCTCTCTCTCTTTCTTTCTTTCTTTCTCTCTCTCTCTCTCTCCTCTTGATAAACAAATCATAGTTTTGCACGAAATATATTTTTTTTGTTATATTCTGTAGACAGCAAAACATTTATTATATTTTTCTCAG